GTCTCCCTCTGCCTGTGTCTCGGCCTCTCTGTGTCTCTCATGAATAAATAAATAAAATCTTAAAAAAGAGAGAGAGAGAGAAAAGAAAAAAAGGGTCTTAGCAAATGCCATTGAGTTAAGCATCTCAAGATGATTTTGTCCTGGGTGGGCCCTAAATCCAATGATGAGTGTCCTTATAAGACAGAGACACAGGAGGGAAGACCACATGACGACAGAGGCAGAGGTCAGTGATGTGATCACAAGCCAAGCACCACCTAGAGCCACCAAAAGCTGGAAGAGGCAGGAAGGATTCTCCCCTCGAGTCCCCGATGGGAGCACAGCTCTGTCCACACCTTGATTTTGGACTTCTGGCCTCCAGAACTATAAGAGAATAAATGTGTGTTGTTTTAAACCACCCAGTGCATGGTAAATTATTACAGCAGCCACAGGAACCTCATGCAATTTGGAAATTGGGGGTCAGAGTGACAGCACAAGACCACATAGCTCTTCACTGTTCCATACTCTGCCTCCCTGATTATGAGGCTGATTTTTAGAAAACTGACCTCATTTCCATCCAGCAGGCTCTGGGGCCCAGGCAGTTTCCCTGCAAGATGCCTTCCTAGGAAAGCCTTATTCACCAACCTCTGAGCACACAAGAGTCTGGGGGAGTCCCAGGCAGTGTGTGAGACATCACACTAGCTGCTTTTATTGACCACTTACTATAGACCAGGCTGTGTTCTATGTTCTTCACAAACCTGGGACTCACTGAATCTTCACAGTAACCTCAAGAGAGGAAATTTTCTCTCCGTTTTACAAATGAGGGAACCGAGACAAAGGGAAGCAATGGGGGAGGGAATCAGGGAACACCCCCTTGGAAAGCCAATTGGAAGTGAAAGAAGCAGGACTGAAAGGTTACATGGAATATGGTCCAGTGCACAACAGGCAAATCCGTAGCGTCAGAGTGCAGAGTGGTGGTTGCCAGGGGCGGCCCAGGAGGAGTGGGGAGGGACTGCCAACGGACACGGGGTCTCCCCTGGGAGGATAAAAATGTTCTGGAAGCAGATAGAGGTGGTGGTTGCACAACATCATGAATGTGCTAATGGCACTGAAGTGTACACTTTAAAATGGTGAACGTGGTATTTTATGAGTTTTACCTCAATTGTTTAAAAACCCAGTTTGAAAAGGGAGAGGTAGGAGTCCTTGTACCCTGTGCCTTCTAGGTCTTAGAGGGTCTGAGTAAGAAACTACTGCTGCCATGTCCCAGACAGGGTACAGCAAAGCTCCTGAGATCCTTGTTGGAAGTTACCATCCTGGGTGCGCTGGGGTGCTGGTTGTGCATCCCTGGCTGTCCTGGCTCCGGAGCATGGATCCTCTGCATGGTCCTGCAGACTCAACATGCAGACCAGCTCCACGGTGAAGCTCTTTGCTTTACAGCTGAAGTTTGTTCTACTTGTGGCCATCACAACCCAGATGGCAAGTTTGTTTAACAGGATCAGTGGGCAGGCACTTCCCAAAGTGCTTTGGTTGAAGAAGCTGTAAAAAAGTGGGGCCCAGGGCCCAGGTGGAAGGAAGAATGGCTTGTCTGCTCCTCATGCTGTAAAGAGAGGAGACAAGACACAATCGGGAAGAGACGTGATCCTGGGGGGCACTGAGGTCATGGGACCCACCTGGGGAACCCTCAGTGGACAGCCCTGCTGGACGGCACCTGCACAGTGGCTCTGAGCTCCTGGTTCAGCTTTCTGGACTAATTTCCTTGGGAAAACCAAGGTTCCCTGCCTCCACTCTGGTATTTAAAATTTTTTTTAAAAATTTATTTGAGAGAGAGAGAGAGAGAGAGAGAGAGGGAGAGCTCATGCACTAGACGAGGGAGGGGGCGAGGGAAGGGAGAAGCAGGCTCCCCGCTGAGCAGGGAGCCTGAAGTGGGACTCCATCCTAGGATGCTAGGATCACACCTGAGCCAAAGGCAGATGCCTAACAGACTGAGCCACCCAGGCGCCCCCACTCTGGTATTTTTCTCAGGCCACCTGGCTCACTCTTCTAGGCAAGCGCTTCCTCGCCCAGGAAGATGCTGGTGGTGCAGCCCCAGCTGGGGACTCTGCGGGACATTTGCATGTGCTCTGAAACGCAGGGTAGGGAGAGCTGATTTCCACGGAATCACCCCCACACTGGCGGTCTCCAGACTTCTCTGACTCACAGCCCCTGAAAGTCTCTGAAGGAAATGGGGAAGGCCAGGGAGTCTGCATGGGTACAACTCTGCAGATACCCCAGGCCAATGCATCAGACTCTGCTCCAATGTTTCACGAGGCAGAGTCCTGGACTTTACCAACTGCATCAAAGTTTCTGGTATTTTGCTTTTTCCCCAGGGTCCCCTAGTGATTCAGACGCAGGAGGTACCTGCGAGGTTCAGCCAAGGGCCCCCAAGTCAGGTCCTGCTCTCTGTGTGCTTCTGTAAGACACAACCTTAGGGACGGCTGTGAGGTCTACCTTCCGAAGAGTCAGGGGAGGGATAAATGAGGCTTTGACTCTCCTGCCTACAAAGGAGACCCTGAAGGGCTGCAGCTGGGTCCGGCGGGGAGACAGACCTAGGGTAAGTCCATGCCACCTTCCATCTAGCCAGCTGCCCTCAGCCTGGGCTTCTCCATCAGGAACATTCCCTCTGCTCAGCAAAATCATTATCAGACCAGCAGCTGTGCGCTGGCCCAGGAAGAAAGGTTCCAAAGAAGTGTTAGCTTTCAGTTTTCAAGAAAGAAAAAGAAAAAAAGGAAAGAAAAAGAAAGAAGAAAGACAAAGAAAGAAGAAAGAAAGAGAAAGAAAGAAAGAAAGAAAGAAAGAAAGAAAGAGAGAAAGAGAGAAAAAAAGAGGAAAAGAGAAAAAAGGTCAGAGCCCCGCAGAGGACACAGAGGTCCGAGGCTGGGGCAGGATTTCGCTGAGCACACCAGGAGGACCGGCCGGCCGCCCGCCAGCAGCTGAGCCCCAAGAAGCCCTCGGAGAGCCATGAGCGGCTTCCTCCGGGCTTGCTCGGCCAGGACATCATTTGTTGATTCTAGAGCCCAATCCCTAGCTCATGGTTTCCTCCTTGGTTGCCATGGTCCCGTACAGAAAACACAGCAAACTCCTGGCCCCGGGCAGCTCATTTATTTCAAATATTCCTTGCAGCTGGACTCCAACCATGTTTGGGTGTCTGGACTGGAGCATGAACTAATTGCTCTGTCTTCGCCCCCCCCCCCCCCCGCCCCCAGCTCCCCCAGCATACTTTATGGTTCAGTAAAGTCCACATTCCTCATCTCGCCGCCGAGGAGGCGCGGGAGGAAGGGTGGGAGGGAAGCCCGGTGCAGAGAAGGAGGGGGTGCTCTTCCCATCTATGGCCAAGCCCCAGGCCGCTACCTGCTCGAAGGCAGGGTATTAATTACAACCACATGGGCTGGTCTGCAAGATGGTTATATTAAGACTGCTCCCTTCAACACGAAACCCTGCTCCCCCAGAAGTCTCCGGGCAGTACAAAGGGCCTTATTTTGCCTGGGCTTCCACCACCACCACCACCACCACACCACCACCACCACCACACCACCGCCACCCCCACCCTGACCCCCTGCCTCCCCCTGCCACCTCCTTCAAAGCAAGCTGAGTTCCAACTGCAACCCAGACATGAACTCCAACCGAAAAAGAATTTCAGGCCACCCCTTTCCTCCCAAACACATCTGGGGAAGGCATCTAGGGCGCCCTTTCCCCCAAAACCCACCTTGATCTTTGGAGACTTTAGCCAAGAAGAAAGAACATTTACCAGGAAGCTGGTTTAGGGATGTTTGGACCGTTCTCAAAGACCAATTCCAGTCCAGGAGCTTCCATTTTCCAGAACAGAAGTGCACGAGCTTTTAAAGCATTTGTTTGCACACTTGCTGATGTGGCGGGCCCTGTCCTACAGCCTCATCTCATCCTCGCTGCCCTCCTAGAGATGGGCACTGTGAGGATTACCATTTGACGGAGGCTCATCCAAGAGTGCGCAGTGGGGGAGGGGTCAGAGCCAACATTTGAACCCAGGTCTGACTCAGGAGTCCCTGTGCTCGTCGCTGGGCCAACCCACCAACACACTGAAAGAATTTCCCTTTCCTCAGCAACTTGTCCGGAAAAAGAGCTGACACAGTCGCAAACAGTGGTCTCCAAACTCTCTTAGGCAAGGTTGCTTGGGGAGTTTGAGAAAACTGCAGATCCCTGGCCTGGCCCCAGAAACGTTGATTCTGTTCATCTCAGGCAGGGCTCGGAGAAAACGTGCATTTTGGCCAACACCTCCCGTGGGATGCCCATGCAGGGGGTGTGAGGACAGTTGGCCAGGAGGCTGTCAGAGAAGGGGACATGGGACTTTGGTCCTAGGGGTCTTGGGTCCTCAGACCAGGGTGCTTTCCACAGCACCGTGAGATCCTGAAAGGCCCACCGGGAGCTGAAATGCAGTCTTGCCAATTCTTTGGAAACTAGTCCTGACATGTGATCCTATCTAGGAAATTTCTTGACGATTTGTGTATCACTCACCAATCCTCTGAATAAGCCTGATTTTCCTGTCTTCTCTGCTAGGGGGTGAGGGGGAGGACCTGCCCACTGGAGCTGGAGAAAGGGTTCACCGTGAAGGCTCACCAGCATCAGTGCACGCTGGCACTGGCGGTACGATTCCTTCTACCTACAGCGCCTGGGCCCCGAGAGGGCTCACACGGGCTTATACCCTGCCCCTAAAAAGCCCACTGTCAACTCAAGCTGTAGACACAGGCGAGCCAGAGGCTCTTGCTGATGTGCAAAATCCTTTCTGTGAGGCTCAGAAAGTCTTAGTCTGGGCTGCAGGCTCACAAACTTCTGAAAAGGGATGGGGACATTCTAGGATCACCTCTCTAGGATTCGCCTCCTGCTGGGGCTCTCCTCACACCCTCTGCCAAAGTGTCCCAGGGGATCATCTCATTATCTATTGAAAACTAGACGCAAGGAGGCCTTGGCCACGCCTCTTCCCTTTCCCCAAGGCACACAGAGGGACTCAAAAGTGGTTTTGTATTTTAATAAACTTTCCTTTATTAGGTTACTGACTATTATTAACCATCATAAAATAGAACGGGTGTTTCAAAACTGTACAGGTCACAAGGTTCTGAGCTGAGAGGAAAGAAGGGTGGGGCTGAGGTTTGGGAAGCCGGGGACAGAGGTGCAGAGAGATGACCAAGAGCCCACAATTCATCCAGCGTCCGTGGGAGACGGCTGGGTCAAGGCAGTAAGGCTGGGATCGGTGTAAGTAAAACTCTCTCGTGTGCAACATTCATGAGAACATGACCCACCCTGAAACAGGAGTGAGAAAATGTCTTTAAGAGTCTTATAGGTAAGGTTTCCTCCCCTTCCTCCCCCCTGGAAAAAAACCTCAAAATAATAAGGGGGTAATTTACATTCCTCACCCAGACTTGGCACCAATTTTGTGCTTTAAAAAATATACTCCACTGGAAGACTTTTTTTTTTTTTAAAGGTACCCTACAGCAGCTGTTTAAAACATAATTCTTACAGACAAATATATATGTATATATATTAAACATTTAAACAAATAAAGTCATCTATTGTACCTGTACAGAAATGAACAGAAGTCAGATTCTAAGAGAGTTGACTTCAAGATCGAAGAAGCGGTGAGTACAGTGGCAGGGGCTGGGGTCTGCTACGTGGGGGGGCCGTGGCAGGGCACAGGTGGCCCTCTTCTGCTGGCTGCCCCTCCTCACCCCGCCCTGCTCCTCGTGTGGCTCTGGGGGGTCGTGATGAGCTGAGGCTGCTCCACTCGGATGCAAAGCCCGGACAGGAACACTATGTGGAGGCCTGTGCTGGCTTCCGAGGGGCACCTCACTCTGCTCTCCCAACCCCGCCGCGCCCCTGGCTTCTCTGGGGCTGCAGACCCCACCCATCCTCCCTTCTTAGTTCTTGGGAAGCCAGAGCTTCTGAGGCTGCACATGGGAGATCTCAGCTGGGGAGGCAAAAGCAAAAAGCAACCCCCCCACAGAAGACTAAGAAGTAAAACCATGTGCAAAGACGTAGGAGCTGGAGTGGTTAGGTGACTACCTGGAGACACAGGGAGCTGCCACGGCTCCTGCAGACAGGTCCCCTAAGACTCTCATATTGCACATGAGGCTAATGTTCCCTGAGGGGCGTGCTCGGAAACTCGGAGCAGAGCCCCCAGGAAACTGTGGGCCCGGGGACCCACATAAAGACACCACTGTGCCCACGTGAGGACATACCACAGACACAGCCCAATGAGAGGGGCAGGTGAGGCACACATGTCCCCGGGAGGGGCAGGTAGAGGAAGAGCTACAGAACACCCCAGAGAGAGGAGAATGAAACAAGGTTTCCTTTCTAAATGGAATAAATAAATGGCTTTCGTTATTGTTAAAAGAATAAATACAGGGTACCGGGGGAGGGCTGACAGCCGTGGTGATGCTGGGTGCTCATGTGCCTGGGGAAAGTCTTGGCTTCTGCCTGGGTGTCCGTGGGGGAGTTTCTGATGTCCTGAGCGTTGTCTGCTGTGCCACGGCCCCCCTGGCCTCAGCACCAGCCCTCATCTGAGCATCTCTTAGTCACCCTGGGGTCTGCTCTTGGGGCCAGGGCACCTCCTCCTGGGACCTGGCAGGTGGGGGGGGGGTCCCCGAGCCACCCCGAGGGCATACTGGAGCTCAGTGTAGGGCTTCCTAGGAGTCTGTTCTCTGTGTTTTTTTCCAAAGAGGGACTGTGATACGGCATGCAGGGGACTTCTGCCAATGTCAGCATGGGGACAGAGGAGCCTGTGTCGAGCGGTCAGCGTCCGGCAGGGGCAGCGGGGAGGATGGAGAGGAAGAGCAGGGACGTCTTCCCGCGGCCGGATGCCAGTCCGAGGCACAGGGTACCGCACGGCGGCAGGCCGGCGAGGTGGCACCAGGTAGCTGTCGCGCTGGCGATGCAGGGTGGAGGGTCACTGGTAGAGGAGGTAGGCCTTGAGAGAGGCCGGCAGCGGCAGCGTGTGGATGTCACCCAGACGCTCCTTCCCGAGGGCCAGGCGCACTGAGCGGCGGCAGAGATCCATGAGCGGCAGGGGCTCGGCTGGGGGGACCGAGGAGAGAGCAGGGACAGGTTAGCACAGCTCTGGACGGCTCGAGAACGAACGATGCTAACAACAACAGCAATTGTAGCGGTGTTAGGTTCTATTTTATTATTTTTTAAAGATTTTATTATTTGTTCATTCATGAGAGACACAGAGAGAGGCAGAGATACAGGCAGAGGGAGAAGCAGGCTCCCTGCAGGGAGCCCGACGTGGGACTCAATCCCGGGACTCCAGGAGCATGCCCTGAACCAAAGGCAGACGCTCAACCACTGACCCATCCAGGTACCCAACGGTGTTAGTTTTAACACACAAATAGTAATAAGGCAATTTTACATTTTAAATCAACTGTTAATAGCTACCACGGAGAACCTGCTCTGGGCCAGGCACCTTTGTGAGCCCTCATTTAATGGTTTATTACAGTTGGCTATGAGGGACTCGATCCCAAGGAGGCATTATTATTATCCCCATTTTACAGGTGAGGACACAGAGGGATAGGGAGTCCAAATAACTTGCCCAGGGTTACCGTGTTGGTAGGAGAAGGAGCTGGATCCGAACCCAGGCCGCCACTGCTCTCACTCAGTGGACAAGCCTTCATTGTGCATCTGACCCAGCACATGGAAGCCAGCCCGTCCCAGCACAGGCCCCAGCTCAGATCCCATACAGGCATTCAGGAAGGGAATCGTTCTATGTTAGCCCAATGCTTGTAGGTCCTGCAGCCGACCCCACCTCACTGGTGAGGGCGCTGAAGCAGGCAGGGCCTGATGTATCCGGGTTACATGCTGGGGTCTGAATCCAGGCAGTCTGAGCTCAGTAACCACATCAGTTGCTGTCAGTGAGGATGTAAGAAATGCTGGTCCAGGGGCGCCTGGGTGGCTCAGTTGATTGTCTGCTCAGGTCATGGTCCCAGAGTCCCAGAACTGAGCCCTCCATCAGGCTCCCTGCCCAGCGGGGAGTCTGCTTGTCCCTCTGATCTTCCCTCTCATGCTTTTTCTCTCATTCACTGTCTTGAAAAAATACATAAAAAAATTGTAGGGGCACCTGGGTGGCTCAGTGGTTGAGCATCTGCCTTTGGCTCAGGTCATGATCCTGGAGTCCTGGGATCGAGTCCCACATTGGGACTGCAGGGATTCTGCTTCTCCCTCTGCCTATGTCTCTGCCTCTCTCTCTCTCTGTGTCTCATGTATAAATAAATAAAATCCTGAAAGAAAGAAAAGAAAGAAAAGAAAGAAAGAAAAAGAAAGAAAGAAAGAAATGCATGCTGGGCCAGAGACACACTCTACAGGAGGCAGAGTCGAGGGGCCGTTCCCGGCCCAGCCACCCCATAGCCTAAAGGTGCAGTGTCTACAGAAACCCTAGGTCCTAGGTACTTCTTCCCACCCGACACAGTGAGCTGAGGGCCCAGGCAAGGGAAAGTGGAAATGCCAGTCCAGCCTCAGCAACTGGGACCCTCAAGACTATCCCAAGCACCGCCAGGGAAACTGAGGCCAGGGCTCATGGCAGCGCTGCTTCGGGCACCTGGATTTGAGAGGAACTTCCAGCTGCAGTCTACAGCCTGCAAGAGCACTTCTGTCCTTCTGTTCCTAGACAGCCTAGGATCTGTCTTCCCCAAAGGGAAGCTCCATGCAGCCTGCATCTCAGATGAACTCTGCTCCAGGAGTGTGCAAGTCACTCCCTGCCAGGCCCTGAAGGCCGTGGGGGCAGAGTGGGCCCTGGTCTCCCTGCCTCCCTGCAGTTGACTCTTCCTGGGTCTCTTCCCAGAAGCAGGGTGCAGGTGAGCACACCTGGAGCTGCTCAGGGCCACCCCTTGGGGGGTGGAAAAAAGGGGGGGGAGGGGGGGGGGGGGGGGGGGGGGGGGGGGGGGGGAAAATAATATAATAGGGATAAGGGGGGGGAAAATGAAAAAATAAAAATTTGTATATTTTTTTATATTTGGGGGGGGGGGGGGGGGGGGGGGGGGGGGGGGGGGGGGGGGGGGGGGGTTGGGGGGGGGGGGGGGGTTTTTTGGGGGGGGGGGGGTTGTTTTTTGGGGGGGGGGGGGGTGTTTTGGGGGGGGGTTGATGTGGTTGGGTTGTTGGGGTGGGGTGGGGGGTGGGGGGGGGGGGGGGGGGGGGGTGGGGGGGGGTTGGGGAGACTGACGCATGGGGTATGGGGGTTTGTTGGTGGGGGTGGGGGGGTTTTGGCTTTGGTTGGTGTGTGTTTTGGGGTTGTGTGTGGGTGGGTGTGGGTGGGTGTGGTGTTGTGTTTTTGATTTTTTATGTGGGGTGATGTGGTTTGGTGTTTGGGGGATGTGGGGGTAGGTGTTTGGGGGTTGTATTATTAGGTTTTTGTGTTTTTGTAATGGTTTTAGTTTGTATGGTATTGTGTGAGTGGGTTTTGTTGGTTATAGGATGGGAGGGGTTTGTTTGTTTGGGGAGTTTTAATTGAAGTGGTGGATATTAGGGATAAAGGGTTTGGGGTAGGGTAAGTTTGGTGTGAGGATTATTAGGTTTATTTTTTTTGAGTAGGTTATATGGGTGTTGAAAAGATTTTGTTATTGATTAGAGAGGAGAGAGATTATGATATAGTGTATTGTTGTGAAGTTTGGGATTGGGGGATGGTTTTAGGGTTTGAAGGAAATATATATTTGTGGTTTAACGGGATTATTTTATTAGTGATGATGAAGTGGAATTGATGGAAAGAATAAAATGGGATAATGTATAAAAAACTTAACTGTGACCACAATCTCATAATCTAAGGCCACAATACAAATAATGAATTATACATATAGAAGACGAATTCGAGCAAGCTCTTACAGGAATTGCCTCAGTTTCCCCGTCTGTCAGATGAGGAATCTGGACCAGATGCTTCAGTCTCCTCCAGCTCTGATCCTGAAGGCCAGAAATGCCACCCAGTGGCTCCTGGCCTGGACATGCTGAGTGGCCCTTCAGCAGATCGAGTGGGGGGAAACCAGTGGCCCTTCCTCTCATCCACTCAGGAGCTCTCTCCGTCTGCCACATCGGGCTAGCCCTTTTTTCCCCCAGGATGTGGCTCGGCCCCCATGGGGAGACGGAGGGGCTTCCCTGGTGGCTGGGGACACTTGAGAAAGTATCAAGAGCCATTGAATGTGGCCAGAGAGCCGTGCAGAGCAACAGAGGGAAGGTTAAGAGGGAGTTCCTGTCACACCCTCTTAGCTTAATGGTTTCCCAGGCATCGCATGGGTACCCTCACGAAGAGATGTTTCTAAATGGCAGAGCCTGCAACACCACCACCGCACCCCCCCACCCCGGCCCAGCTTCCTTATTCTCGGTGACAGCCTACCTGAAATTAATGTCATGACCCCAGCAGCAGCTCCGGTTAGTGGAGCACAAATTGTGTGCCTCGTGGGGATTGTGCCCCCCACAATCTACAGATGGGGAAGTGACCTGGGGAGGAGAGAGCCAAGGGCTAGTATGTGGATATGCGCCCAGATCTAGCCAATTCCATAGTCTGGCTCTCTCTTTGCCAACATGACGAGGAAGCTCGTGATAGCCCCTTGTGCTTTACCCCAAGGGACGGGGACCTATGGCTACCTCCTTCCACCCCCACTGGAAAGCAGCTGTGTGAGATGGGGGAGCTTCCTCTGCCTGGCCATCTCTGGACCACACTGAAGAATCCAGGTACGGAGGGGTTGTGAACCCAGGAGGGTTGTGTCCTTCAGACATACCAGATCTGCCTGGATGAGTTGCAGGAGCAGCAACTAACAGATGCAGTGATGCATCATGAGCCAAAAACATGACCAGCCATGCAAGCAGCCCATGGTGGGTCTGTTCTTGGGGGCCACAAGTACAAAAACAGGTCATTTCCCCCTGGATCTTGTAGGGGACAAACGATGGTGCACAGGGCCATGGTCTGATTGCTTCCTAAAGGCTGGGCAGAGACCAGGAGTACACTGGCCACAGAAGTGGATGTGGTACCGGGCCATGGAAGATATCGGTCTTGATTTCAGTTGGTCACTAATATATCCAAGAACGTCTCCCTACCTCAACACTTTTGATGGGGGACTGCAGGCTCTGTATCCAGCCCCATCCACAAAGCCAGGTACCCACCGAAGTTCCACCGAAGAAGTTTCCAAACAGGGAAAGGAAGAGTTTATTTGATAACCTGTGCGAGGGGCCTCAGCCACTAGGCCCACTTCCAGGAAGCTGAGGCGCTCGTCCCAAACTTTACATAGTTTATATGAATGGGGTGTGAAGGGCAAGGAGTTCAGCACAGAAACTGGGAAGTAAATCAGGTGCTATTTATGGAAAGTCGAGGAACTGGATGGGTATATGCAGGAACTTCCATATTTTTCAGAGAAATGATTACCTGGTGGCCTATCTGAACATGCATGGCCTGGCGCGCCCGCCTGCGCCTCTCCCACAGTTCTCAGAGCGACTACACCTGACTCATGCCTCCAGAGCCTGGTGCTGTGCTAGTTCACGGGCTCAGGGTATGAACTTTGGGTCTGCGAGGTCGAGGACAGAGATCTCATGTCAGGAAGTGCCCCTGGTCCAGCCATGTTCACATTCACACCCATCGCTTTCACCTTCCTAAGACTGGCCTCATGCTTACTCCTGCGAGTAGCTCACAGTGAAAATGCCCCATGAAATGGATTCTAGAAAGTCTTGGGTGGAGGACGGGCATCTCAGGATATGTGTGCATTTTCCCTCCACATCAAGCAGTTCTTATGAAAAAGAAGCAAGACCCCAACCCCTTGTACTTGGCAACCAGGGAAGGATACTTGACACAGTGAGCCTAGAACAGCCCCTTCTCTCCTAAGTGGGCTCTTTTCCCCAGAAGGAAGCTCTTGGAGGTTGGGGTGACTAGGAGGTTCTCTGGAGCCCAGCTGGAATGGAGGTGCAGGGGGGAGCCACCATTAGGTGAGGCGCCCCAGGAGGGCATCTAGGGAGGCCAGGAGGACACCTGGAAGAGGTCACCAAGTGGAAAGTTTCTTGAGGAAAAGAGCTGAGCCCTCTCCGAACCCAGAATCCTGAAAATCCTCACCATACTCTTCTGGGAGCAGTAAAAGGGAGAATTTGAAAAATGGAGGAATGTAGAAAAAAGGATTCCTCAGTGGGAGACACAGTCACAAGCTGTGGGGGCAGGGAGGACCCAGGGGGACAGGGACTTTCCCTTGGGTGACAGCCAGTCTGCGGCTTGCAAGTAGGTCTTTTCTTTCTGTGCTTCTAGGGAGGGGCACAGGCAGGCCTGGAGGCCCAGCTGGGCCCTGTCTCCCCCTTACAAAGGTCATCTCCACCCCTTCACCCCAGGAAAGAGGAAGGTGACACCACAGCTCCTCTGGCTGTGGCTTCAGCCCCAGAAGGTCTCAAGGCTGGAGGAATCAGAACTAGTGGCCTGTGGTCAGAGCTGGCTGGGGACGGTGGGGGTGGCCGCACAGGGACACATTGATCACTCTGTGCCTTTGCTCTGGGCCCTGCCCCAGAGGGGGCAGCAACTCTGCTGGGGAGGGTGTGTGTGCCCAGGACACCAGGGAAGGGGGCCGCTTGCTGCTGTGAGTGAGCGCTGCAGCACTCAGGGAGGGCCCCCCACTTAGCAACTCTGGCTGACAAGCTCTGCCAAACTGCTACTCCCTGCTGAGGTCGGGACCTGGTGTCTGGGGCGGAGTGGGGTGGGGAAGGACGGTATAGAGGTCGTCCCAGACATCCCAGGGAGCGCTGACAGGTCAGATGGCCTCTGAGGCTGTGACCCCGGGAAGAGGTACCTAGCCAGCCCTGGCCAGACTCTCTGCCTGTCACACTGCTCCCCCGGGTGGGCCACAGATCCGGTCTTGCCATGACATTCCCCCTCCTCAGCTGCCTCAGAAGGTAAAGGAAACCCTCCTGAGCAGAAGACTTCGGTCCCCTTCGACCTCACCCAACAAATACCCTATCTGAGGGCCGTCTTGCCTTCCCTTCAGGGGGTGGCATGGGGGTCTCAGGGGGAATGATCTAGAGTCCCTGTCTCCACATCTATAATGAGGGGGATAGTGTCCTCTCTTCTAAATTTTTTTTTAAAATTTTTATTTATTTATGATAGTCACAGAGAGAGGGGGAGAGAGAGAGAGAGAGAGAGAGAGAGAGAGAGAGGCAGAGACACAGGCAGAGGGAGAAGCAGGCTCCATGCACCGGGAGCCCGATGTGGGATTCGATCCCGGGTCTCCAGGATCGCGCCCTGGGCTAAAGGCAGGCGCCAAACCGCTGCGCCACCCAGGGATCCCTGTCCTCTCTTCTAAATTCAGAACTCTCTGGATCCTCGGAATGTGACCCTCTTGGAAACAGCATCTTTGCGGATGTCATCACTTAAGGTAAGGTCATGCCAGAGTAGGGTGGGCCCTGAATCCAATGGCTGGTGTCCCCAAAAGATAAAGGCAGACCCAGGAGGTCATGTGGCAACGGAGGCGGAGATGGAGTCAGGCATCCACAAGTGAGGACTGCTTTCAACCAGCAGAAGCAGGAGGGAGGCCTGGGGAGGATTCCCCTCAGAGCCTTCAGAAGGGACCAACCTGTCGCCATCTTGACTTTGGACACCTGGCCTCTGGAACAGTGAGGGAATGCATTCTGCAGGTGGTCATCTGTTCCAGCAGCCCCAGGAATCAAACACACCATCCTTTCTGTCCGTCTGTAAACCCACTGCTCTGTCAGGCTTCTGACCCCACCCAACCCTGAAGACTTCTGTCAAGGCCACCAGAGATGGCCTGGATGCCAAAGTTGATGGACAATTCTCAGCCAGCACAGCACTTGACCTGGCATCACCTTGTCCTTCTGGAAGTCCTCTTTTCATGTGTTGTCCAGGCCACTACTCTCCCCTTGAGCCCCACAGCCACTCTGTCTCCTCTCCCCTTCAACCGCCCTACCCTGAAACACATACGTGGCCCAGCGCTCAGCCTCAGCCCTGCCCCCTCACTCCCTGGGTGATCTCATCAGGGGGCTCGGCCTTAAACCGCCCAGCCGTGGATGACTGCCCCAGTGACCTCGATCCAGATTTGTAGAACTACCGAGATGTGTGGAGTGAGAGTCTCAAACTTAACTCCCCTACCCTGGCCCAAGCCCTAGTCAGGCCACCTCTCCCCTGGATGACTGTCATGGTTCCTCCCCAGCCTCCCAGTGGCCACTCTCGCTCCCACCATTCATTTTGAGGCAGTAGCCAGAGCGATCCCATAAACGGGGCCCATTTATGCCCGACCAGGACTGGAAGAGACATTGAGAAGGCAAGGGAACACTCTGGTGTTGTCTGGCATCGAAACCAGTGGCCAAGGAATTCATGGAATGGATCACAGCTGCAGACTAACAGGCACAACTTTCTACCCAGATCTTTTCCTTCCACCTTTAAATTTCACTGACTCTCGGGACACCTGGGTGGCTCAGTGATTGAGCGTCTGCCTTTGGCTCAGGTTGTGATCCCCGGGTCCTGGGATCAAGTCCCACATCAGGCTCCCCACAGGGAGCCTACTTCTCCCTCTGCTTGTGTCTCTGCCTCTCTCTCTGTGTCTCTCATGAATAAATACATAAAAATCTTAAAAAAATTTTTTTCCCTGACTCTCCCTTGAGGGAGGCAGATTTGAGGCTTACCCTCCTGTCTCCTGGTTTGCCTGTCTCTCAAGTAAATCCTTTCCTTGCTGCATCCCAGTGATGGTCTGTGCTGCCCAGCGGGGAGGCAGACTTGGCTTGGGCTACAGCATGACATTTCTGGGGGGTGGAGGGTCCTCATCATCAACCAAGAGAATCCAAGGTGGGCTCAAGCCATTTGGCACTTGGGAGTCTCCATCCCAGACTCAGTTCATAGATGCAAATGTCTGCAACTCATTCCCAGGCCCGTTCCCTGCTCTGCTCCCCTCAACCTCCCCTCTATGTTTTCCCCAACAAGAAAATTTATAAAAGCATCCAACCTCCCATTGGATGCAGAGCTGACAGGGCATCTATTTCCAAGATGTGCATTTGGGCCTCCAGGGCCATCCTAGCAGAACCTTTGCCGAGCCTTGCTCTAAGTCAGCAGAGGAATGATGCTGGTCGAATGTGCCCTGACTTGCCAGGTGAACAGGCCAGTCGCCTCCAGGCCGCTTGGGGCTCTGTGCTCTGTGTCAGAGCTGGCTATGTGAACGGAGAAGCCCAGCCAACTCCAACGCTGATGGACCTATTCCTGGAGGGGACAGGGGCTGCCCTGCTCTAGTCTCGACCAACGGTCTCAGTGACCTGGCAATGACACAGGGGGCCCAGTTGTTCGTTCATCTGTCTGTCTGCACAGAATGGGCATTACACTGACTAGGGCTGTGGTCACTCCTCTGTCAGGGCCAGGGCTCCTGAAATCCTAGTCCTGGGCAGGATGTGCCTAGTTCTCCCAAGGCCTGCCCACCCCAGCCTAGGGCAGATTTGGCTGTGGACTTTCTACTACCGTCACCTGGGGTGAGAGACTCACAGAACTTGCTCTGCTGGTTCCTTAGATGATGAGGTTTGAGGTTATTTCCTTGGGGAGGCTCCCTGCCTCTGCCAGGAGTCCCATGACCTAGGGGTACTAGGCTGCACAGGTGAGGTTATTGCCATCACTCAGCCAAAGCCAGAGGCAAGAAGCGAGGGAAGGGGGGGGGGTGGAAGCTTCCAAAGAGAAGCGTTTAAGAGTTCCCTCTGCCTTATGTCCCTGGATATTTTCTCTGATATCTTCCAAGGCTGAAGTAGGGAAGAGCCATGGGAGAAGCTGAAGTTCTGGAGGCTTCCAAGACCACAGTAAGCATCTGTGCTTCCGACCCCAGCAGGGCCTTCCCTGAATGCTCACGTGGCCTATGGGGTGCCAGGTCAGACCTGCCTCATAGGGATGGTCAACACAGGGCTGGGCTGGGCAAAGCTTTCTGCACCTTTTTTCAGGCTGGGCTCTGCAGATGGTAGAAAGGACCCAAGAAAGAGTAAGGGTCAAACATGGGGACAGATAGTTTTGGAAGCCTAGGACCTCCTGCCACCATGGGGTCCCAGCCCCGAAGCCACACAGCCCTCCACCTCCTACACTAGGATAGTATCACCACATGGCTATTTTCACATGTGGTCTGAGAAAGGCCACTCCCTTTCCCAAAGGAAAGGGTGGAAATCACAGCTGATTCAGCCTGTTTCTAATCTACACACTCTTCTCCAAGGCATCCTGACATCATGACTGAACAAGCCAGGGGACTGTGGTCTAAAGGAGCCAACTCAGAAGCCTCCAGCACCAGAAGAGACTCTAAACCTGTCTAATGAACAAGAGAGGCTATTGGTTTTCATTTATGTAAGAGGTCCTCGTACCCTCAAAACTGCAAATCCAAGCCCAATAGTATGCTGGCTACTGTACTAGAATTTGGTCAACAACAGATCAAAATTAGAGGTAGATCAACCAGAAACAAAGAGCAACTACCCATGAATTTATCCATCCAGCCACCCACCCACCCACCCATCCATCCCTTCATCTATCCATCCATACTCCCTTATCTATCCATCTATCCATCCATCCCTTTATCCATCTATCCCCCCATCCAACCATCCATTCATCCACTCATTCTCTATCCATTCATCCATCCATGCATCCATCCCTCCATCTACTCAACCATTCTTCTATCCTACCATCCACTCATTCATCCATCTATCCATCCATCCATCCGTTCATGAGGTGCTTGCTATCAGGTAATCTGGCAGATTCCAGCTAGAATTCTTCATTTAAGCAGAGGCAGGCAATAGCCTCTGAGGATCCGAATATGCTGGGATATCTACTTAAAGACGTTTTAGTTTCAATGACTGTAAACTTTTGATCAGGAGCAGCCAGGACCCCAGGACCACAGAAGGTCCGAGAACACTGCCACATTGGACAGCACAGGACACTTACGGTCAAGTCCATTCAAGTAGCGCATGCGGATCTCACAGTGGCCCCAGACGGCACTCACTACAGGATATAGTTTTTTGCCCTTGAGTCCTCGAAAAGCCACTCCCATGTACTGTCCGTCCACAATGAAGCTCAGAGTCCCGTCATCCATGTCCAGGGCCACAAGGAAGGAGTCGGGGACAATAAATGTCTCATCCGGCTCCAAAAAGGCCGGGTATGTTTTGCTTGGTTGGTTTTTGCCATCATGATAGAGCCGGTTGCGCCCCAAGTCCCAGCCCCAAGACTCATGGTTGTTCCCCACGAGGGTTGTGTACCCGACAGAGTGCAGGGGGGCATCCGCTGTCGCCACCCCAACCACAGCGTGTGTGCCCCGCTGCCTCATGGCCCACGTGATCTGCCAAACATGCAGCCCACGTGTGTACCCAACTTTGCCCCTGATGGCATCTGTACTCTGGGCCACCGGATGCCGGTGAAAGATCAGCTTGTCGTCCTCCTTCACAAAGACATTGAGCGATCGGTCATTGTTATTCCATGAGTGGAGCAGCTGGATGTCGTAGGACACGGGGGGCATGTCTAGCAGCAGGTCCAGGCGGGTGGGCTTGCAGTAGTCCAGGCCCTGGAGCTCCTGCTTCAGGGGCCGGTACGTGGGGTCCCTCATGTCCACGGTCTTGATCCCTCCAGTGACCTTCTGACCCATGTTTGCCTTTGGTTTCACCTCTGCACTGAGTCCCACAGCAAACTCATCAATCGTGGGGCCTTCCGTCCGGTTTTCCAATGAAGCCCAGATCAGTCCTAAGGAAGGTTGGTAGGCGGCCTCTGGGGACTGTAGGGCCCTCCGTGGTGCCTGATGGAAGGAAAGAGAAACAGGCTGGATGAGCAGGAGGTGCGGGAAGAAGGGGAATACAGTAGTTAGGAGTATGAGGCTGCCCACGCAGGCACATCCCAGCTACCTGATGCAAGGCAGGCCGCAGCCATGGCTCTGTCGCCACAGCCACACCACCAGGAAGGCGACAGGCTGTCCATCTGCAGTTGGCAGGGAGAGGTGGGCTGAGGGGCTGGCCACCATGCTCAGTGGTGTTGGCTGTACGGCACTCACCTAACCCTAACCCCAGTTTCTCAGGGCAGAAGGCCCAGTTGGCATGGATCTTGCATCAGCCCCAAGGCAATGGGTGTCCTCCTGGGTCAAAGCAAGGGGAAGCTGATTTCCCTTGCCTGCAGTCTGGAGGGAAGGTGAAGCCATAACATGCAACAGAAGTGGCCAGACCTCGTTTCCCAGCCCCTCTTCTCTTCTAGCACCGCCGCTTCCAAGGGTTCATGCCAGGGAAGGGGACCCTGGTGTAGGCAGAAAGCTCACTTGGGGGCTTGCATGGCACTCAGCTGGAAGACCTCGGGGTCTCCTGGCTTGTGGTTCCCTGAGGCCACAGGGAACTCCCCAGACAGCCCTGTGACCCTCCTGGGCCAGGGGTACCAGTGATACTCTTCCCGTGGCCCCTGGGCTGTCCCCTGATCAGGTGAGGACAGAGCTCTCACCCTCCTCCCTCAGGTGGTTCTGAACAACACTTAGAGGACCCCCACTTGTCCCTACCTGTACCCTTTAACCAGCAGCCGTTACTTGGCCCCTCGGGTGCCAACAGCCCATCTTGTGGGGAAGTCAGACCTCTGGACCCCTTGTTCCCACTCTGACTTCACCATCCCGTGGCTCCTCGAAGGGAGGTCAGGGCCATGGGACTGGAGGAGAGATCTCACTCCATCTGTCCCGGTGTCTCCGCTGGCAGTGCCAGGAGAGTTACCTCCAAGGACGAGGGTCTGAAATGTGAGGCTGATCGACCACCCCTACCACACCTGTCCCAGTGTCCAGCCTTGGGTGAGGGAAAAGAATAGGTCATTTGGTTTCCGTTTTCTTCCCCGCAAGATTTTATTTATTTATTCATGAGACACACACACACACACACACACACACACACACACAGAGAGAGAGAGAGAGAGAGAGAGAGAGAGAGAGAGAGGCAGAGACACAGGCAGAGGGAGAAGCAGGCTCCCTGTGGGGAGCTCAATGCAGGACTTGATCCCTGGACCCCAGGATCACAACTTGAGCCAAACTGAGCCACACAGGTATCCCTTTCTCAAAGGTTTTAAAAGAAACTCTTGAGATCGTTCCTAGGAGCACTCAGGTGCCTTAGGTGAAGAGGGCACAAAGGAATCTGCTGGGGGTTACTGCGGGACTCCCCTCTGTGGGTGGCAGGGAAGAGCACCTGCTGGGAGATGAGGGCCGCCGGTGGTGCAAGGGAATCCGGGAGAGAACCTCCCAGCGGGGCCAGGAGGAGGGAAGGGATCTGCAGTGGGCTTGCTGTCTCTTGTGGTCGGTCTCCCAGCCGACCCTGAGCCGCCTCCCGCCCCCGGGACCACATCTTCAGGGCAGCCAGGCCTCTGGGAGGCTGGCTCTCGGCAAGATAAGTGTCCCTATGTGGGAGCACTTGGACGCACCCCCCCATCCCCCTCATTGACCACATCCAGCTTCTCCCCCTCCCTTTTCTGCTGTGGAATGGAGGGCTCACTCGCTCCCTGAGGCATGGTCATTTTTTCAGAGACTCCTAGTGTCAAATGTATGCAAAGCTGGTATAGAGCAGAGGTGTCCGACTGCAGCTAGAGGACCATCCCGGTTCTGGAAAGTTCTATGGAGATCGTGACCTTAGTCCTGGATCCCCCAGGACAATACCAATTTCAAGCCTTCAGGCTCATTGACTCCTGAGAACCATCAATACTTTCAGGACTTGCCTGTGGCCCTGCGGGGACATCCCGTGGCTTTGGCACCTGCTTGTCTGGCTGTATTGGGGTGGAGAGATCTGGGGTTTGGGGGGTGCAAACATGGTCCTTGTAACTACAGACTGGGAGCTGCCTGGCTGCAGCCTCCCCAGACTCCATTCGAGTATCTTCCTGAGCTGGTCTGGGGCAGTTCTTAAAGTCAGAAGCACCCATATCCATCTCTGCCAGGACACCTCACTCTGGCCGGTGCCCTGAGACCTCTCAGTGCAGGAGGACCCTGTGGGGACCCAGGTCAGCCCTCTGGAGGACAGGGAGGGAGCTCTCAGGCCCCTGAGCTGAGACCTGTACACATATAACTCCTACCTCAGCTAGACCAGGGATCGGAAACTTCCCGTGTACAGGGCTAGACAGCAAATGTTTTAGGCTTTGTGGCCAGGCAGCCTCAGCGGAACCACCCAACTCTGCCTTGTGGTGTGAAAGCAGCCACAGACAGAGCATAAATAAACGAGCATGGCCGGGTTCCAATAAAGCTTTATTTATAAGAATAGGCTGCTCCCCAGTCAGCCAACCATTGAGCTAGACAAGGGGCCGGGCATGTCACTTCCTCTGATGACAGAGCACTGCAGAAGGCAGGGGATGGAGGTGGGAAGGAATCTGATGGCTGCGAGGTCAGTCCAGCCTCAGAAAGAGCCGTCAGAAAAGACGGCATAACATCCCGGTGGCACCTCGGCTGTCTGTTGAGGCCAGTTCCGCAAGCTCTCCCTGCTCCACGGCCCCCTGGCCAGTCTGTTGACATGGCCCTTGTGCTAAGCTCCCGCCCTCTTGGGCCATGACCCAGGGGACTGTCCAAGAGGTGGGGTCCTTCTGTCCCTGGACCACCTGACCTGGAGTAGCGGGAGCCCCTGGGAGGAAGGGGCGCAGGTAAAAGTGTCTGCAGCAGTGTGGGCGGCTCCCACGCAAGGGCACCCAGAGCCTCACCAGGGGGCACGGCACACCCACTCTGCTGCTTCTGGGCCATCCTGCTGCAGTCACCCCAAGTGGGCAACCACCGTAGCAACCCAGGCCACTCTTACCTTGTCTGTCACCTGCCTCTTCCCACCCTGCATCCATGCTACAGTCAGAGTCGACACTTTCTTCTCGTAGACCTCCTGCTGTCCATACCTGGCCACCTCCTTGCCATGCAAGGCCATTGAGGTGGTCCAGCTGCCCCTCCTTCCTTCTATTTTTAAATGTGGCCGCAGAGATCTGCCCTTCTGTGGGTCTCCTGGGGCCCTGCCAGCCCCTTCTTGGGGAGAGCCGTAGGGTGCCCCCCCACCCTGGCCCCCGACCAGACACCTCCCCAATTGCACCTCCCTACTTTGTTCTCCTCCACCAGCACTGCTCCTGAGGACAGGGATGGCTCTGCTGCTGCTGCCGCCACCACCCATCAGCCACACTCAGCCACACACAAGCTCAGAGCAGCAGTGGCTGCGGTGTCGGTGCGGGGCTACTGGGCAGGAGGGAGTAAAGTCCCGACAGTGCCAGGCTGCGGCTCCTTCACTCCCTCTGTGGGAGTTCCTGTTCAGAAAGCTCACGCACACATTAGCCTCGGGGTCCCCAAGGCCACACCTGCCTGCCCTACTCAGGGCTGTCCCAAGCCAGCCCTCAAGACAAATTCCTGGTGTACACCTGTCCCGCGCTGCCAACCTCTGATTGCCCAGGTAATAGCTTGCTCCCCCCTGCCCTCAGCCCCTGGTGCTTCCCAAGGCCCAAGGCACACCTGGAGCAGGGGTGAGAAGGGGCGACCTGAGGCTCCAGGATGGGGGCAGGGTGGAGATTTTTGGACTGGGTGGGTGGGTGGATTGTTACCCTCCTCAGCAGCACATATGCAGCAGGATAGGTGTCTCAAGGAAGAGTAAGAGTGCATTGTGTACACACACACACACACACACACACACACACACACACACACACCTGTGTGCACACAGGCACTGAAATGGAAGCAAAGTAAAATATGTTCAAAGGAGCTCTACCCGGAGGACAATTCTTCTTGCATGTTACATGGAGTCGACAAGTCATTCTGGGTTGGGAGCTCTTAGTGGCATTTTTCTACAAGTAAAAGTAGATTAAAGACTCCAAAGGGCCCAAGGAGAAAAATAACCATACAAGGATGGTTCGGAAAGTGCACAAGAGGAAGGACACGCTACACAACTGTCAGAGAGTGTGAAGTTGTAACACAGAAGCACGCCTGATTGGGGGTCAAGTTCTAGAGCCAGTGAGGTCGTGGGGCTCAGTGTGGTCAAAGTCACCCCATACGGTTCCAGAAATGCCATATGAATAGCTTCCTCACTGGGAAGGGCAGGCAAGCTGCCCCCGCCCCCCACCGCACTGCCACAGGCCTCTCCCTTGTCAGTTGGGCCACGTGGTTGTTGAGGAGTGGCTGGGCGGGGGTCACCAGGTCACTCAGTGCCCCTGAGGCTCCACTCTTCACGCTCCACTTCCCTCTGCTCCTCTGCTCAGCCCGGTGCATCCCCCTCCCAGGCCCAGCACAGCACTGGCCCCAGTCCCCAGGGGGACAGAGAAGAGGACCTGCCCCCAACATCAAAGCCAAGCTCGAGGTTGTGTCTGTCTCAAGCACTGGAGGGCTGGGAGCAGGCAGTGGAGGAGCACCCAGTGCGGGGGACGCAGGAACCACAGCCACCAGGCAGGGATACCTGTACTTCATACACTGGCTTTGTGAGCTGACCTGTTTTACCCTCAAGAGGGACACAGAGAGACATGAGCAAACACACCTGAGCAGCTTTAAGATGTTGCATTTACTTACAATCTCGTGGATAATTTAAAAACTCTGGGACTAGGGGTGGGGGGGTTGGGGGGGGAGCAGAGAGAGAGGGTGTCTGCTGTCAGGCCAGATGCCACTAAGGCCTATGGTTTGACCTGTGGGGGGGGACCCCTTCCCCTCTCTCAACAACCCCCATCTCTCCCTCACTAACGCTACATATGCGTCATCTTCGATGGGTCAAGTCAGTTCATGGTTCATTGCACAAGGGGATGCCTCCCCAACCCTCCAATGGGCAAAAGCATCCCTCCTACTATCCCTTG